AAGCAGTGGTATCAACGCAGAGTACTCACAGAGAAAGATAGGTCGATGAATTTCGAAAAAAAATCTATGTCTTGCAAATTTTAGCTACCGTAACCATACAGTAAGGCGCTAATTTGCAAAGCAGGTGCGTTTTTCGTGACAGGCCAGCAGGCCAAATAACCTCTATGCGCAACTTTTCCGACGAATTCGGGCCCTATGATTTTTTCGCCCTGAAGTTCGCCGATGGGTTTTGGCCAAAATATTGATGATTATGGATTGGCCGGAAACTTCGTCCACATGGGTTTTCGAACTCGCTGATTACGAAAACAGTGCTCTTTATGCAGTAAGTTTTTTTTAGCAGAGTTATACCGAGTGAGCTGTCTCGAAACCAGGCAAGATCCTACTTTTGCCTGCTTTTTTCTCCACTTATTTTTACAGCTAAACATTAACAGAAGCCGTGCTATTGACGCATGGTTATTGTAGGTCTCCATCTATAAGAACTGCCCAGTTACGATCTCACGAAATCACGTTCTCATGAATTATGCACAAAATTTGAAGATCGCCCACTTTGTCCAAATATGGTCCTGGTTGGATGTATAATACGCTATTTGCAAATGATGTTTACTCTGCTCAAGAACTTCTACTGTAAAGGGCAGATAATCAACGTAAAATATTTAAAATTTCAGAAAATAATTATGAGAACGTGATTTCGTGAGCTCCTAACTGGGCAGTTCTTATAGATGGAGACCTACAATAACCATGCGTCAATAGCACGGCTTCTGTTAATGTTTAGCTGTAAAAATAAGTGGGTGAGTTGTCCAACAAATACGCGAAAAGAGCAGGCAAAAATAGGATCTTGCCTGGTTTCGAGACAGCTCACTCGGTATAACTCTGCTAAAAAAACTTACTGCATAAAGAGCACTGTTTTCGTAATCAGCGAGTTCGAAAACCCATGTGGACGAAGTTTCCGGCCAATCCATAATCATCAATATTTTGGCCAAAACCCATCGGCGAACTTCAGGGCGAAAAAATCATAGGGCCCAAATTCGTCGGAAAAGTTGCGCATAGAGGTTATTTGGCCTGCTGATCACGAAAAACACACCTGCTTTGCAGATTAGCGCCTTACTGTATGGTTACGGTAGCTAAAATTTGCAAGACATAGATTTTTTCGAAATTCATCGACCTATCTTTCTCTGTGGAAAAGGGATCCTCCGCTAACCGCTAGCGCATGATAATCTACGGAAACAGCTCTACCCGGTCTTGTGTACTAGAATCTTCCTTATGTGTTCTTCGCTGAGTTACACCACTACGAAAACCCGTCCTCACACAAAAATCGAGCAAATTGAAAACGGAATAGTAAGGGAGTGTAGTATATCAGAAAGGTTCATTTTGACGAGCTGAACATCATGCTTTTGTCGGATTCCTAGTTTATGCAATCTGAAGAAAATTATGAGCAAAAAACGAAAAAAAAACGCGGATCGTCAGTTTTTGCGTTTTCTGTCGGATAATTATTGTGGGTACTGTAGTTTGCGCGATTCGCGTGATTCTGCGAAAATCCCGGAATGTCCAAAACTCCCAGAACATTGCGGACTTTCGCAAAACCTCCGGAATCACGACAACAAAGAAAATCTGCACATTTTGTGAGCTATTGTAGAGAGCAAGAAATAGAGTAGAGCCTAGGAGAATTCATAAAAACTTCGGTACGGAGGCAACCGCCCATGTACGCGCATCTCGCGGGCGTGTGGAGTCTGGTGAAAAGATGCTCGAGCACGCCGTTTGTGCCGTTTCGCACTTTAGACCGATCGCCTTCGTGGATCTGGATCTGTATATCCATACGCAGAAAACAGAATTGTTCAGCTCATCGTTGAAACTCTCGTTGACAGGCAACTCGGTTCATTCACAATTTATAGAGCGGTGAATTTTTTGAAGAAAGAGCAACGTCTCCAAAGAGACGGTGTCATGCGCATAGCAATCAATCGATTGCTGCAGTGAGGGATCTATCTACTGCACCGAATGCGCAATTGAACCGAAAATGTAGATCACATACTATAAGAGATAGAGCAATGAAAACTTGCACAGTGTTTTCTAAAGTACATTTCTTACTTATGTTAGAAAAGATCCAATTTTGTGATATCATCTGTGATAAATGATAAAATGATGATATCAATGACAACGATAGATAAGAATGGCTTAAATTCATGCGGTCGATTCCCACGTTCATCTTCCATGTAGGTACAGAATTTCAGCCCAGTCTTCGGCGTAAAGCGAGATGAAGCAAAAATGCCATTTTAGATAAGAATTGGGAGCATGGCATGTGCCGATGAGAAATCGATCGATTGCTGCAGCGAGGGATCTACCAATTGCACCGAGCAATAGAACTAGAAAAGCCTGTAGATCACTTATAATAAGAGAAAGAGCGATAGAAATTCACACAGCTTTTCCTACAGTACTTTCCTTACCATATGCAAAAAATGATCCAAAAATGTGACATTATCAGTGATTAATGATAAAATGCTTATATCAGTGATAAGGGTGAAAAAAAAGGCTTAATCTCTCGCGATAATTTTCGATAATGAAAACTCCGTACCAGAACCTGCTATTCGCGATATACACTGTGGTAGGTGATCAAAAAAGCGTTATCATAGAGAAAAACAAAGATTTATCACATGCCTACCCCGTCACCACGAATTACTGACATACTGTATATCAAACGATTCGTCTCATCAAGCTGAAGCCAAATTTACACGCAGATTGCAAATAAAGTGGATTTAAAAGAAGTTATAGCTAAATCCCGCAAGTCCCGCAGATCCCGCGAATCCCGCAAATCCCGTGAAGTCGCGAATCCCGCAAACATCGCGAATCCCGAAAATCCCGCGAATCCCGAAAATCCCGCAATTTTGGACAAATTCCACGGCCACAACTGTAGCTGAAACCTGAAAGTAATTCATTGCAATACAAATAGATGAAAATCAGTCATAAACGCACTTAAAGGAAGTTAGTCGCAGAGAATGACAAGAGCACAATCGGAAAGAGCAAGGCCGAATTGTTAGCCGTCACATATCTGACTCATGCCAGCTACCGCGCTCGCATATCGTCTCTGCCGCATGCGGTGCGGTGTTCTTCTGTGCCTTTTACGGGCGCTTACGGATTTTCAGTTATTTGCTGTATTCCAGTAAGTATAGCCAAATGCATCCTACCTTTCACTCGCATATTTTGAATATTCAGTACATGCCGTATCCAGATCTAAAAAAATGCAGTGGCACACTTTCCTTTCGTTTCCTCTTGTACGAAGGTGACAAACAAGGCAAAACAGTTCTCCAGAACATCATAACAAAGAAAGTCTCACCGTGTAAGAATGAATATGTGGAAAACTAGCTATAACTTGACCGTCTGCCATCCCTTCAACAGCTTTTCTGCATATGTGATTGGTAAGGCTAGAACCACAAGCGAAACTGCAAACGAATTCCCCCCCCAAAAAAAAACGAAGCACATCCATGTGTGATTGATGCAAATATACTTTGGTCCATGGGAGTGCTTTCCATAGCTTGCTGTGTCAATTTCATATCATTCAAACCAGACTACCCATGAGTGCCATAGGAAATTCGCTCATAGAAATAGCACTGAAAAGGTAACTAACAAAGGAAAGTTCTAGTTTCTTAGAAGAAGTTCCTACTTCTTGATCAGATTTGGAGTAGTTTGGCTATCTAAGTGGAACTCATCAAACACTCCCACAGTGTCTAAAAAATGTATCCCAACTATTTGTCAGGGTGCGATCTAAAAGGATCAGGATTAGATTCTTACTTCGTCAAGAGTGAGTTGTGGGCTTACGACTTGTAAAAAAACGAAGTGACTCGCGGATTCCAGACGCATGTTGTCAGTAAAAGTTCAAAAAGCTTGAGCTTTCGAAGGGTGCTACCCGCCGTTAATTTTATTTGAAGAAAGCATGTAATTTTTATATCATACTAGCCAAATTTTATTAGGTTTGCATTTCATGGCACCTCCTTATACATTTAGATGTACGCTAGACAAGTTCATTCAAAAATAACATCGTAGCCCTGAAGAAAAGAAATCAACAATCCAAATAGAGAAAACTCTTTATTTTGTGTGCAACAAGTATTCGTCATTAAGTCATTGGATTCCTACAAATAACAAAAAACCCGATACGAACAACTAGCAGAAAACAAGTAAAGCGTCCAATCAAGATGGGCCACAACAAAGACACCATTATTACATGGGCGGGCAAGCACATTTAAGGCTACGAATCTTTATTATGCTGTTGAACTTGAAGGGCTAACTTTGCAGTCAAAGTACCAACAATTTTTGTCAACTGCGCGGAAACTAAATGAGCATTTGCGCAACCCTATTTCGATGTAGATCGTATATATATATATATATATATATATATATATATATATATATATATATACAGCATGAGCTCCCCCCCCCCCCCCCAAAGCACATTTAAGGCTTCAAAGTCGTGAAATCGATGACCCCTACAGTAGACGAGGTTATCAAGTCACTAACAAGGGAAGTTCGCCGAATCGAAATGGCCGATTGATACGTGGTATACACCCGGACGCGGGGCTCGGGAGGTTAGTATCAAATGTGCGCCCATTAGCTGCGACGCGTTATTGTGAAGCAAGTTATGGCCCTCTGAAGTTTTTGGCGTGTGCATGTCTAGAGGATGCACAAACGCTCCGACTGTGTTCGTGTGGTGTAGTGGTTAGCGTCTCGGGCTCACAGGTGACCGGTGAGGGTTCGAATCCTGTTGCTGTCCAATGTTTTGCGTTCTTCTCAAAATTCATTTTTTACCTCTTTTATGCATTACTGATGTAAAAAATGACACATACGGGTGGTTAAACTCTACTAATTATACATCCTGCTGTGTCATTCTCACAAGGTAGCCCATTAGCAAGAATCAATACGACGTGATACAACTTGGAGGTTAAATACTACGTGCAATCGAAGAAAGTATGTGGGAGTGAACATTCGGCAAATCTTCAAAGTCAATTGAAAAGCCTCGCTAAAAAGTCGTTGCTATGTACTATGAAAATATTACATATGAAGCATTGGTCGAATTCTTGTAAGAAAAATCATCCCGTAACCCGTGTGTGTCATTTTATACCTCAATAATACATAAAACAGGTAAAAAATGATTTCTGAGAAGAACGCAAAACATGTGGACAGCAACAAGATTCGAACCCTCACCGGTCACCTGTGAGTCCGAGACGCTAACCACTACACCACACTCAGACACTGGGACCGGCAGAGCCGCGGCCTCAAAAGGCCTTTCCGGCCCGTCCGCGGCCTTAATTTGGGGGCGTGGCCGAAGACCGGCCCAGCCGCGGACCTTAATTCATGTCGATATGATTGCACCGGCTGATCCGCGGACTGAATATGGCTTACCGGCCCAGCCGCGGACCGAATATGGCTTACCGGCCCAGCCGCGGACCTTAATTCATGTCGATATGATTGCACCGGCTGAGCCGCGGACCAAAATCTCTATTACGAAACACCGGCTGAGCCGCGGCCCATTTTCGGCTCGGCCGGTCCTAGTATCTGAGCGTAAAGAACACTTGCGTGATGTACGATGCATGGTCAGGCTGCCCTCAGTGTCCATAGCCTCCGTTGTCTTTCCAGTCTCCAAGGCAGGAACAAGACCAATATGTTGTACAACACTTGAATATGTTGTACAACACTTGGATAGCACTTTGTGTTGTCCAATTTTGAAGCCGGACATGGTTTCCGAAGCGGCCATGTCTGTGGCTTCAATTTTTGTTTTTCACAGCGTATATCCTACGTGCCAGTGAATAAAAAAAACAGTTGTTTTGTATCCGAGCTAGAATGAACTAGATGGCCCGACAACCAGCTCCGGCTGAGCCGCGGCCGTTTTCTGGCTGAGCCGAGGCCGTTTTTCGGCTGAGCCGCGGACCATTCACCGGCTGGTCCGCGGACGCTGCGAAATTCCAGCCGGAAATGGGCCGCGGCTCGGCCGGTCCCAGTGTCTGAAGCACGACCACAGTCGGAGCCTTTGTGCATACTCTAGACATGCACACGCCAAAAACTTCAGAGGCCCATAACTTGCTTCACAATAACGCGTCGCAGCTAATGGGCGCACATTTGATGCTAACCTTCCGAGCTCCGCGTCCGGGTATATACCACGTATCAAAAGGCCATTTCGATTCGGCGAACTTCCCTTGTAAGTATCAAAGCACAAGCTAACCGAGAATGTAAAAAAGCAAACGCAATCAGCAGAAATCATTCAGACTTATCACCATAGAAAGGCGAAAACAGCAGAAAAAAAAGGATAGTGACAAACGAGTAACGAAAAGAGAAGTGAACCGTAAGCACAAGATAAGCACCGTAAGATGTGCAGTCTGTAAAGAAGGACAATGGCTAAGGAACATCCTCGTATTGCCACTCCTTCTTTACAGACTGCACACGTTGTATCCACTCCAGAAATGCATACAAGGTGAGCCCAAGCCTTGCAAGTTGTGTGGTTGGTGCAGCATACAAAAAAAATATTTTCGGAATTTTCTTCTGGAAATCTTTTGCCGCATATGAAATATGTCTGTAGTAAAGTCCTATCCACTGCTAAAATACAGCGCGTCTCCTCAATTACGTTTCTGTCAGCCAACTTTCGTCGGCAGTATTTTTCTTGATTCAGCGCAAATCTTTGAAACTGAAACACATTTGCATCGCTAGAAAGCCAAAAAAGTAACATACAGTTTTGAACGCCTGTATTTTGACTGGTTTCGGCCCTACGCATGTTGTTTGCTAGAAAGCTTTGCATCTCGAGTCTTCTCGAGAATGTGTTTGCCGGAGAGAGTTTGGAAGCGACTGATTGAAGCAGAGTCAAGCTCTTCTCCACATTAATTCAGCAGTTCGATTGTTCCCTTTTCTCAATTTGTGTAGTTGCTCTCCGACTTGCGACAATTTTTAAGCATTATTTATGAACTGCAGGAATATTTTACGGGTTGACTTATTCCCTAGCTGTATTGGTAGGCGTTTTTCACTTTATCTTGCAACAAAGCGTCTTGCTATATGACTTGGGAATCTTCCTCTGGTCCTTCCACGTACGACTGAAGAGCCCTGCGTCCGAAACGCCGTACAAAGGGGTCTCCTCTTGTGTTGACGCAAATAAGGCAAAACATTTGACGGACTTAATATGCATAAAGGTATGTGCGATAGAAGGTGAAGGTTGTAGCTTACCTTCCTCACAAAACGTGGCTAAAGCATATGCATGTATACAACAAACGCCAGCCTGATATGCTTCGTAACAGTTACAACACACACGAAATGCGCAAATGTTGCATCTTTCGCAGTGGGAGTTTCGCTGAAGCAGGCTACTAAAGTATAATGAGCATCCTAGAAGCACGATCTACCTCGGCTCTGCAATCACAAGCTTCTACTATTCTGACCTTGTAAACTTGATCAGTGCGGCACTCGCACACGACAGCCCAGCGGTTGTCTCTGGTTTTTGCGTATGCGTTCTGTAAAGTCTTGCTTTTGTAATCACGAAAGGAGCAAGATGTAAGATTTTCACCGGCTTCTCGCGATAAGATTTCAGCGCTTTTTTGTGACGCTTATGTTTCAATTATTGCGCCCGGAGGCGTCAGGTCCGCCGCTTATGCGCTAAACAGTAGAATAAGGAAGCTTTTAACAAACTCAACAATTCTGACCGAAGTGATTAGCTGTAGATTCCTGTCTTCGAAATGTCTTAGCAACGTGTACGTTAGGTTGTCCAGTATCCCATTCTATTTAATCAAAAGTAGGGCGTGCTTTGAAACCCGATGCCAAGAATCGACGTGGTTCGATGTGGTAAAATGATGTTGGGGCGATAGCAAATCGCCTATTCTTTCCGTCTTCCTGAGTAATTTCGCTCCACGTAGTGAAAATGATTTGTTGAGGTGTTACAGATCTCAGAGCAAGCATACCGATATCATATCAGCCGCTCCGACAGATGACAGCCATGTTATGTATGCAGCGCAACTGCTTTCAAACTTTGTCACCTCATTTTCAAACAAAACAGCGTTAAAAAGTCGGTGAAAAATGAAGAGACGTGTAACAATGAAGGGCACGCTCACCCTTAAAATTCCCTTGTGTTTCCTTTGGAATGTTTGGCTTATGAAATGAACAAATTAACTTCTCTGCTCCGTTATTTGGAAACACATCCTTGAAGAAGCATTGTAGAAGACATATGTATCATCCGTCATAATGTATCGCGGTTCCAGATTCGGCACACATTCCTACATTCCATATTGTAGAGGAAAACCACTTAGCTGAAGTGCAAACCTTCACCAGTTCAAAAAGAAGTCGAACTTCTGCTGTGGTCATCCTAAAGGAATGTAAGTTACCACAGGGAAATCCGTTGCCTGCGTCATCCGCAACAGCGACTGTCGCTAAGCGGAAGGAATACTTCGTGACGTTAAATCATCTAGTATCAGTCCACGGCGCCTATAACGTTGCAAATAGTTTTTGCCAGTGGTTGTAATGAAGGCTAAATTTTGGACGAAATGTGAAAAAATGAAAAGTTTTGAGTGCTTGTTAAAGAACAAAGAGAACTTTGCAAACCTAAAGTAAAACCGTCCCCGCTTAAGTCTTGAGTATCGACTAATTTTGAAACGACAATCACAAATTTCGGAGTAGTGCGCGCAAGGATGTAATGTCATTCTCGTCCGTTCTGCGCAAACAAGATTGTTACGTATAGCAATATTTCTGGAGTGTGATCGTAAAGAATATGGAGCAAGCAATAAGAATTTTTTTACCCACGCGACATCCCTCATCGTCAAAAAACATTAGCGCGATTGCATCCCACATATGGTGTCATCTTGGCAGCAGGGCAATGCTTGATAATCCTTTCTGAATGCTTAAACCTCGTCTTCTGCTCCTGCGGGTCCATGGCATTTTCGCTACCTCTTGGTATACGAAATAATAGACAGTGTGGCGGGCTAGCCTTCTCGTGGTCCTCAGAACAAGCATTGTAAAAGTTTAGTGCTCCTTCTCTTTCTTCCATACCTGCAGAAAAAGATGATTTAACAAAGTATCTCAAGCAGCTCAAAAGGACCAACTAACTTCAAAATTATCCCACGACTGAAAAATATGCTCTGTTATATTCTGGGCGTCGCTCGTGCTGCTGTGCTGCTCCATGCAGTGACGTGCTAACTGCTCGTTGCAGCGGAAGAGTGCCAGATCGGGGCATATAACCGTCACATTATCGGTCCTCAAAGCTGGCGAATGCACCCATACACAAATTGGCATGGCGGGAGCCCGCGTCTTAGGTTTTGCGTCACGTATATGCGAACGCAGTGTCCAGGCATTATGCCAAGTATCAATATACAGCGAAATTCAGTCTCGATGAAGCTCTTTTCGCGTTTTCGTCCATTTTCCTTGCTTTTTTCATCGGACTAACTGTTAACAGATATTTCTATGTCAATCTAGGCATTGCAAACTTGCATAGTCTTTGATCAAAACAACATGGTAAAATTTTTCGCGGCTGAGTTAGATTCTCAAATCTCTTTTTGTGGAAGAGTGATGCGTAATAGTACAATGCCTTGTGAATTTCATCCCAAAAGCCATGAACGACAGATGGAAAAGGTGAAGAGCTGGTAAGGAAACTAGTCTCAACTTTAATACCCCAAACTTGTCATGAAAACAGAATTCTTTATTAAAAAGATATGATGTACATGAAAGTTCACTCATTCATTAAGATCCACAGCAAACTCACAAAACCCTAGCATGAGTATGCAAGTATTCGCAAACATAATTCGCCACAACCAAAGATTAAGACAGCAACAAGGATAAAAAATGAATTTATTCTTGCAAACCTTTCTGATGAATGATGAAATCAGATGCACGTTGATAAAAAAGCGAGAAAACCACCGGAAACACCAAAAATATGACGTCGAAGCCGATAACCGCGGTATTGATTGGCACCTCGCAAAGTGCCCGGGCCCGCACTCGCAAGTGCAGCGCAAGCCCAATGCGCTGCGAGCGCGAAACCCCGCCCAAACGTATCGGCCTGGTCCGCATTGGGGCAGACTGTATGTTTGTTCTAAGAAAATTGTAAAGCTTAACCACTCGAGTTGACCAAAAGAATCAACCTAGGAAAAGGTTGTACTCCTTTAAACACTATTATCCCATTGATCTTACATGTAGCCTTGTCCTATGGCTCTTTTTAAGTCATTTGCTTACAATTAGCAATCAAGATGAAAAGCGGTTTAGAGGAGCATACACGTAGAGATATCGTGTGTTCAAGAGATTCACATCGGTGTCACCGCGCGCGTACAACCGCAATCGACCTTCTCGCCTTTAACCTCTACCTCGCCTCTTGTTAAAATTGAAGAGAAAAAAGAAACAAAAACCGTAACAGCATGCTAGCGAACCCCTTGCACAAAGTTATGAGCAGGATAAAGCGTGGGGTGTGGCACGCCACACCTGGGGTCGTATTGAGGAGTCGGCAGGGAGGAAGGGGGGTCATAGTTGGGTAACCCGATAATAGTGATAACATGATATTCGTAAGCAGTTTGCATTATGCGAAATACAAGCACATGAGAGGTTGATTACCTCAGCATAATAAAAAGATGCTGCGAAGCTTAAGGAGTATCAAATTCATATTTAGCATATCAATTAACCCCTGTAGATAAAGTTTGAGCAAATTCTGAAGATTTACTAGACTACCTAAGTGAATGCTCATTTTCCAACAAGATTAACTTTGTTTCAAAGAGGAATTAGCTAACCGTTTTGCATTACTTACATGTCCGCCTCAGAAATTCCGTTTCAATAGACCTCCAAACTGTGGAATTAGAAGCCAACAAAATCTCAATTTTCCCATTTTTTGGTTTTGATGGCTGTGCTTTCATCAAATATTACTCAGAGCTAAGAAGACGAATCAGGCCCAAATCACTACTATGAAACTTAAGAGATTTAGGCTATCGATCACATAAATATTGCTCGCTAAAAATGTTTTTTTAAATAGTTAATGGGAAGTGGCACCACCCCCAAAAAGCTGTGGCGGCCACAGCTTTTTAGGGGCGGTGCCACACCCATTAACTATTTAAAAAAACATTTTTAGCGAGCAATATTTATGTGATTGATAGCCTAAATCTCTTAAGTTTCATAGTAGTGATTTGGGCCTGATTCGTCTTCTTAGCTCTGAGTAATATTTGATGAAAGCACAGCCATCAAAACCAAAAAATGGGAAAATTGAGATTTTTGTTGGCTTCTAATTCCACAGTTTGGAGGTCTATTGAAGCGGAATTTCTGAGGTGCATATGTAAGGAGTAGTGCTTTGTCTTGAGTGTAAAAACAGGTAGCTACTTTCAGGGCCCGGCACCGATGGTTTGGGGTCAAATTGGACTTCGTTTTTGGAGTTAGAAGCAACGGGGGACATCGTTTTTATGAGGTCCTGGAGGAAGCGCCAAAAAACACGACGAACATGTCAGGTTTCACGAGTTGAACGTGTTCTTTCGCAAGCGCGCGAATTTTAAATGCAAGATTCAAACAAACAAATGGCTTGTTTACAGCGCACAAACAATCACATGGCTCCGAATTTGGGCTATGAGTATACAATATTACTCCAAACTATGTTATGTAAAAAGTTCCCAAAACTTATGTGTCTGTTTACCCGTTCCGGATTTGTTGGTTTCTAGACCAACCACCGAACCAACTGGGTTGGTTCGGAGCATAAATTTCGGAGAGTTCACATAAGTTTTGGACCTTTTTGATTTGGACGATTAAAACGCTTAAAAATCTATTATATAGTGAAGAGAGCGAATCAAACTATTGCCTCTCCTCTTCTTTTGAGCCAAAAGTAGTGCAAATCTATACGCCTTGATAGATATTGCGCTCCAATCACACGCGGTGTCCTTTGAACTATGTAGCGAAAAACGCACTGCCAGATTGTTGAGGCCACAGATTTGGTTGGCTTAGGAGGTTCTCGACATTCTGAGCGCTAAAATGGTACACTCCCAATGACAGAGCCTTTAATCAACTCGAAATGTTTTTTTTGCTTTTTTGTTGTATTAGTTACCTCAAAATGCGCTTTTTTCGCTTTTTCAATGTTATTTTGACTAATTAAGGGTTTTCCTACTGATTTTTACGTCAAGAGGGACTTCGTAAATTTTCGCGAAGTCATGGGGGACTTCGTTTCCGGAAACGCTTCAAACCAACGCGTGCCGGGCCCTGGCTACTTTACCTTTGAAACAAAGTCAATCATGCTGGAAAATGGCGATTTTACTTAGGTGACCCAGTATCTTGAAACTTCAGAATTCGCTCATTGTCTACAGGGTTAATTGACATGCTAATTATGTATATGTTGCGCGTTATGTTTGACAGAGTAATGCTATCTTCAAGTAATGCTATCTTAGGTATATAGTTCAGGGGGTCTTATTGAGACAGCAATAAGAGGGGGGGGGGAGGTCGTAACAACCTTGTGCCACACCTCTTGCTTGACCCTGGTTATGAGCAACTCCAAAATTTCACCTTCTTCGCACATCCATCATAAATTCGCGGATGGCGTTACCATGCGAAATCAATGTGATGATAGTGATAGTTAAGCAACACTGCGTACATAAAAGGAACTGAGATTTTGATACCACCGTAAGGCCCCGGTCAGACTTCACGCGACTTAATCGTCGCAATCTAATCGCCAAGATTTCCATTCATTTCCATTTCACATTCAAAAATTTCGAGCTGGAAAAGTATCACAACCGAATGCAAGTTGATCTGCATGGAATGATGTTGTAACAGTTGTCTCGTCGCGATTCAGTCGCGACGATCAAATCGCGTGAAGTCTGCCCGGGGCCTAAAACCTCGTAAGCAGTAACGAACGAGTATAATTCTGTGACAGCTGTCAAATAACTGCCCCACACGGGCGTTTAGTGGTTCATAAGATTTTCAGTGATGCTTCATAAGATTTTCAGTGAAAGGCTGGTATATCAAAATATACTTAAAAGAAGATAAAGCAACGGCAAAGTGAAGATGAAACAGTTCATACCTTGTTGTGCTTCTTCAGACCAATTGAAGTGAAGAAAACTGACTTCACATACGCATTCTCGCCTATCTCTCATCTTTGCTCTTCTCTACGCATTTTTCCCTTCTGCTACTTCCTTTTCGGTGCTACCATGAACTTCACGTAGATGATCGAGTAAATTTTTTTGAGCATGTGGCCCTTTTTGGCAAACGTGGCGCACGACCTTCGTCAGCATCTGCACCGAACTGCAATAAAGTTTCTCAAGCATACGATCAAACCATTGAAGATAAATAAACGAAGCGAGAATCTCTAGACGAAGTGTAACAGCGAACAGGCAAACAAACTTGCAATCGCTAACAATAGAAAAAACCTCAGGATGGCGAAGATGTCAGATAACTTCTATGAAAAAAAACAGCTTTCAATGACAGCAAAACGGTCTACAAGGATGAAGAAAACTGCAATAGAGTCGAAACAAGACTGTGACGATTAAGTAAGCTGAAATGAAAAGGAGAAATACAGTTCCGCTGGGGTACCGGCGCTGCCGTAACAGGAGTGGTAGATATCGCGCTCTAATCGAAACCCGGCATTTGTAGTGCCGTCCAAATACCGGATATCCTAGTCTACACAGCATGGCAAGAACGCATACAGTGCTGCATCCAGGCCCACCGCTCTTCAATCTGAAACTTTATGACTAACACTGAAGCTACGCAACCCACTTCGAAATATCAACAGAAGTCAATGGACAAAAAACATCCAAGGCGAGAAAATGAAAAAATAGAAGAGAAACAGAACTTTTTGTTTAGTATGGCTTTCGTGTTTCCTGCTTCCGCATTGCTGAGTGAAACTTTATCTCCACGCTCTCTGCTAGCGTAGTTTCTTGTAATAGCAGCAGCTGGCGCTATCGGTTGCGTTTGTTTGTTAGGCATGCCAGTACCCAAAGATGCAGCAGGTGGCTTGAATGTCTAATTAACTTCCAAAAAACACTTGAGGGCAGACAGAAGCAAGCAGTAGCAGATAAGATACTCACAACAGCTTTACTAAGTTCCTGTTTCAATTTCTCCTTTGTTCATTTGTCAAAGGTAGCTATTGGCTGGTGCGATTCCTCACCTTTTGTATGTTTTGCGGATGAATCAGCATCCGGAGATTCTGCTTTGAGCACAGATGTGGCCTTCCTGAGATAAGATTAGCTACAAATGCAGCAGTACCAAGGTGAAGCAAAAGTATAACCTCAGCGAGTCCGGCACGGATAAATTATTAGTGCAATTTCCGGAGCTTGCTTTGGAATGAG